AAAAAAAAAAAAAAAAAAAAAAAAAAAAAAAAAGGAACAAAGTGGGTGATCAAGCTGATCTCAAAGCATTTGTTGAAAGCATAAGAAAGCTGGCCAAGTACAGGACCCCATGCAACATGTCAGGGCTTTACTGGCTCACGTGCGAAGGCTGGGCAAAGACAGGCAAGGGAAGCCCACAGGGGACAACAGAACACTCAGGGAGAGGGGGATGGAAACTACTGGCGTCATCTACTCAAGATATGGGGAGAAAGTTTCCCAGCCAGGGTGCGAGAGCCAAGAACACGAAAAGAAGTCCTACGACAACCTCTCTTCTGCAATCAATAGATCAAAGATAAGCAAGGGAGGCCCATAACTCGAAATACTACTAGCCGAGGACTCCAAATGGGGGACATGGCTAGAGCACGGGGTATGGCAGATAAAGCATCTGTGGTCAGAAGAAAAGGGATAGTGGAAAACAGCAAGAGAACTGAGAAGCCTTCTTAAAGCCAGTCACAAACTTCTGGAAAACCTCAACGATCTGCTCATACATTGGACATTTCAATCTGTATATGGGACGCTGAACCCGTTTTCCAGCATGTGCTGCTCCCCACCAATAGATGGAGCCTCTCCTCCTCAAAAAAAAAAAAAAAAAGCATTACAGTGAGAATGCGACGAGGGAGAGAGGTGTGCGAGAAAGACATATGTTTTCTCGCAGGATAACATCCATGCACGCAGATGGGCGAGCTCAGTTGTAAAACGTCTTGAAGCTTCACAGTCGAGCCTGATGCAATGCTGCCACCAGCTAGTTGTCTAACACATGTGAATGAGCCGTGAGATGGGGAGGGGGAGGAGGATGTGGGAGGATAGCCGAACGTTGCAAGAGAACACATCATCGGTCGAGCAGGAGGTGGTTCCGCAGAGGGATGTGGCCATGCATGAGAGGGATGTGGCCATGCATGAGAGGGATGACGCCATGCGTGAGAGAGATGACGCTCTGTGGAGGTTGGATGCTGTGGAAGCTGATTTGCATGTCTCCAAGGAGCAAGCAGACACGGCATCATGATGGAGATTCGTCGAAAAAGTTATTAATGGGGGGGGAGGAGGAGGAGCCGGAGGAGTGAATGACAGAGACCATGCCTTGTGCGCAAGATTGCACAATCTTTGGCTGCTAGATAAGGGTAAAGCAGGAGTGTGTGATACATCCACAGTGACTGTTGTCGGGTCCGGTGGTTGCAATGCACAGGGAGCGAGGTGTGACAGATGCGAGGAGATGGGTGTCTGCCTTCACGTTTTGGAGAGGGAGATGGTACGACTGCAAATGACAAATGAAGTCCTGCCTTTTCCCACATCGTTCTGGGAGGACATGGACAAGGATATGCGGTCTTTCGTCCTGCCCAAGAAATTCCCTCCCCCGCCTGCCAAGCATTCGTCTGGCTTCATGTGAGACGCACAGGCACAGATAACAGCGATGCGTGTGTGTGTGTGAGAGAGAGAGAGAGAGAGAAAGAGAGAGAGAGAGAGAGATGGCCACGGCGGATCACATTATTTGTGTTTATTGGAACACCACAGTCATCGAAGTAATTAGTGGACTATGTTTTACATATAGGTCCGTCATAAGCCATGTCTTTCGTTTTTTTTTTGGGGAAAATTTGTCTGGCGCCCCTGTAATTTGCGTTATTTCGCGTCGCGCCCCTCCGGTGGCCGATTTACCCTGTCGTGCCCCTGGGCCAAAAAATATTTTCGGCAGGCCCTTGTCAGTAGTGACTGCAGCTTTCCAGGATGCCCTCCTTGGACTGGTGGTCCCATTTCCATCGGGCCCTGTGCCATATGCCGTCATGACGGGCAGCCATCTTTCTGCAATGCCCCCGCAGCTGTGAGGCGCCACAAATTCGCATTTCCATCGGGCCCTGTGCCATATCGTCCGCTTCCCTGCAAGTGTGTGTGTGTGTGTGAGAGAGAGAGAGAGAAAGGGTGAGTTGGTG